GGCAAAAAAGATATCGTCATCAATGATAATCTAAATATACATTCAGGAAAACTAGGAAATGCTGCTTGATAATGTATTAGAATTTTATTTAAGGATATCTACTTTCTGTGTTTTGACATGTAATGTTGACCAATTTGCTTTTTATTGTTGTAAGATTTAATTTTTTGAATCTCAAAGGCTACTGCCATTAAGTAATTATTGGCTGAGCTCATTATTGTCCAAACCTGCCCATAATTGATCACCATATGAAAATTCCATAAAAATAAACACTGATACTACCTACTGAAATTGTCTAAAAAAGGAATTCTGCAATAGGTAAGGGTTATAAAATGCAACTAAAAGAGAGAAGGATATATATAGAGAGAGGATCTATCAAATATCACTTAACTGAGCTCTAGATTTGAGAGAGTACCACACTTATTTCTAATGAATAAAAAAGAAATACTAGTGAATAAACAAAATCCAAGTAATTCTACAAATTGTGAAACTGTATTGTTTCAAAATGTGGAGGACATTTCAATAATTTGCATTAATATACTTTTCAGCCTTAAATGCTAGTGTAACACACTCAAGCAACAAGAATATTTTGTATCTAAAGACGCAAGAAAGCACAGTAATTATTTTCTTGTTCTTTCTAGTCTTGTTTTTACATATTTGCTTGAGCAAACATTAAAGCAGACCTGGCTATGTTTGTATTTAGGGCATACTATTTATTTATAGATTTTATGTACTTCGAAGAAACAAAAACAAACAAAAAATACTTCTGAATGAGTTTGCCAGCACTCCTTTTGCATGCTCTCAATTCCACATAGAAATAATGTGTGTACTATAATTAATTTAAATACAAGTATCCTGTAGTCCTTCATGAGCAAAGATTCCTAATTTGTTAGTTTTAATATCATTCCCTTGCATGTAAACTCCCACTTTCCAAATTTAAAAGAAAAATAGTATAGCACAAAATCATTCAAATTGTAAAAGCACACATTAAAACCTGTAATCAAAGTAGGTTAACAGTACATTTAGGTAAATTCTATTTTTAGATAAGCCAATGCAAATAATACACTTTTCAGTTATTGCAGCAGAATTCTGATACATCAATCAATATACACTATACAATATACAGTCATGTAGAAATCAGGCTGAAAATAAATGGCTGAAATCTTACTATACTGTAATGAATTAAAAAAGACCATGCACATTTTTGCAGTTATGTGCACATTTTTGTGCACTGTACATATATAAAACCCTTATTTATATCACCTTTATGGAAATTAATGTCACTTTCTCCTTTGTTGTATTTTCAATCCTTTTTTTTAAACAGTTTGAAATAAACACACCATTTTTGTTTCAATTTTAATGTGCGTTGCAACATCACTGATCTCAGTACAGCTGTGTAAAGACAAGTGCTGTTGAAGAGACAGCAAATGGAAAAGAAGACTACAATATTTAATAACAATGGCTAATTCAGTTCCTGTTTTAAGGTCTGAGTAACCTCTCTGCACTTGATTAGGTGAATTTTTTCCATGGTTGCAGATGGAGATGCAATAGATCACAGCATTCTCCAAATCCATAGAAGAGTTGTAATTTAAATTAAGAAACATGCACAAATTTGTACCAGTGGGACTGTATTGATATAACATCACTCCTTTAGTTAAGTCAGTGCATCTTTGTCAGTATATCTGGGATTTGTATGAGCACAGGTCGGATCTTATCCAAGACCTCAAAGACCTACTGAAATGCAAAGAATAAATATTGTTTTAAGAACACTTCCATTCTGTCAGCCAAATTTTACATATTTTTCTATTTTATTTAGAGTAGTCTTTTTTTTTTAAACTCTCAACTACTTCAAAGTGAAAATTCTTAATATTTATTTCAAGCAAAAAAAAAAAAAAATCTGTTCAGTGAACATGCAGGTGGCATGGTTAAAGAATCAAAATGCCAATAAGGATCAAAATACCAAAGTTAAAATTTCAATTGCCTCATCATACAGAACCTTTGCCTCAGGCACCTACATAACAGGCATGTGACATTTCTAAACAATTGGTTTGAGCATACTATAAAAAAAGCCAAAGAAAACTTCCTACAAAATGGGGTAGATGGCATCCAAAGGCATGCATGGAGCAAAAGGAGATGAGAGATTATACAGAGATTTGAATACAAGGAATGAGATTTGGTGCTGTGCTTCCAAGGAGAGGCAAAGTCAATTTTAATCAGCTTTAGCACCCTCCTGGTCCTGGGTTGCATTCAGTGCTTAATTTGTACCCAGGCTCGCCAGGGCTGAGCTCCAGCATCTCCATGCTGGGCAGTTCATAGCCCCAGAACCTCTGGGCTTGCCATATCAGCTATGAAAGTAAAAAAGAAAAAGCTTAACCCTGGCACCTCTTTCATTACAATGCACTGAAAAAGCACATCCCTAATTCCATCTCAGACCTCAACGACTGACTGTCCCTCTTCAGGAGGCCCAGCCACCTCTACCTCACTCCTTAACCTACCTTCTGACAAGCCTCAGGTTCATCCCGCTTCCCAGCCTCTTCCCAGCACAGAGTGGCCACAGTTTTAGCAGATTGAGGGCCCAGTCTCCAGCGCAGGACCTGGGTGCTGGTCACATTCCCAGCCATGTGAGGTGAATGGTGGTTACAGTTTGCCTGGGCAGCCTCACAAGTGTGCCGCTTACATGGGACCAGCTTTTTTCCCCCAAGCGACGAAACCCCCCCAGCACATTAAATCTTTTCACTAGCAAAGGGCTAAGGCAGTTAGACTACAACTCTAGCTACACGGTAATACCAGCAAAACTGAGACAGCACTGAAGGCCTTCTGCTTCTAATATGCCTTCTATATCTTCAGTGTTTAGAGCTTCGGTGTGCTGCTCTGATCTCTTAGAGTACAGCTACACAGGAACATTATTTTGAAATAACTAGTTTTATTTCAAAATAACTTAGTCTGCGTCTACACAGCATGCATCTATTTAAAAATAATGTCAAAATACTGTCAAGCTGGCGGACTTCTTACTCTGAATCCTGTAACCCTCAGGCTGTGTCTACACTGCACCCCTTTTCCAGAAAAGGGATGCAGAGGAGACAAGTCGGAATTGCAAATGAAGCGGGGAAAATTTAAATCCCCGCTTCATTTGTATAAACATGGCTGCCGCTTTTTTCCGGCTCGGGGCTCTGCCGGAAAAAAGCCGCCAGTGTAGATGGTCTTTCGGAAAATAAAGCCTTTTCTGAAAGAACTCTTATCCTTGATTTTAAGAGGAATAACAGATCTTTCGGAAAAGGCTTTATTTTCCGAAAGATCCCCGTCTAGGCTGGCGCTTTTTGCCAGCAAAGCCCCGAGCCAGAAAAAAGCGGCAGCCCTGGTCACCGGAAAAAAGCGGCAGCCATGTTTATACAAATGAAGCGGGGAAAATTTAAATCCCCGCTTCATTTGCAATTCCGACTTGTCTCATCTGCATCCCTTTTCCGGAAAAGGGGTGCAGTGTAGACACAGCTTCACTGTATGAGGAGTAAGGGAAGTCAGAGGAAGAGTGCTCTATTTCAAAATAAGCTATGTTGACGTAGGTCAACTTGCATATCTTATTTTGAGCTAAGCCCTGCTGTGCACCCTTATTTGAAATAAGCTACACAAATTGAGCTGTGTCAATTGTAGAGCTTATTTCAAAATTGGGAGCATCTACACAGCACTTACTTTGAAATAGAACACTCTTCCTCCAACTTCTCTTATTCCTCATACAATGAGGGTTACAGGATTTGGAGTAAGAAGTCCTACATTTTGAAATACCTGCCTGCTGTGTAGACGTGGACTGTCCTATCAAAATAATGTTGCTGTGTAGACGTATCCTTACCCAATGTAAAAAGGCAGGAACTGTGTTGTGCCCAATTATCTAAATTTGATGTGGAAAATGGAGTGGAAAGGGATACCCAAAATAATCCAACTTTTAATTAATCTATCGCTTACCTGTTTAAGTTCACATTTAATTTGAACACTTGATTTAATTTTATTAGATAGGTCTGTAACATAATGGTAAGTGATCTCAGCTTGCAGATGATTCCTTGTAAAGAAAATGCATCGTTCCCTGGTGACATTCTCGGGTTACAGTGTTCTTGGCATTTTGGAATGATTTGGTCTAGTAGCATATAAGTCCATTGGTATTCCAACTGGAATGTATTGTAGATCATCAATACTTCTGGGCTGCTACGTGTAGCAGTATGTAGAATTTCATCCTTTTGGATGTATGTTACACCACTTGCTTCCAGAGAAATGTGAAGTGTTCAAACCATTTCCTCCAGTTCTCTGCCAGGTTCCCTTCCATTATTTAATCAAGCATGTGTTACTGTGTTTCATCATTTCATGTCATCAAAATGTATTCCTTCCATACCCACAACTGAGATTAATGGACTCAAATAAAATTCAGCCCTGATACAAATTCATTCTTGATTGCTATTTAATTTTGGAAGTGGATAGTAAGGTTGCCTCTTGGCCAATTCATGTCCTCATAAAAATGACTTCTATTTTTTTACCCGCTTAAATAATTTTTTTTAAAAGTGCTTGAAGTCTGCTATTAGGAAACATATATACATTCTCTGCATATGTTTGGATATAAATTTCAAAAAGTCTAAGTGACTTGGAAGGCTAAGTTCCATGAGTCACTTTCGAAAATGGAGCATAGGCTCCTAAGTCACGTAGGCACATCTGAAATGTGTACCTCTAATCACACAATTACATGGGATGGTAAAAGAAGTAACATTTGGTAAAAGAATGCTAACATTGTAATAGCATTCATATTACATGGTCAGATAATACAATGATTATTACATATTTTGTGAAATTGTTAAATTATTTAAATATGAATCTTTAATTTGAAATCTTAACTTTCACTCTGCACTCTTACTCTGCACTCCATTGCAAATTTTAAACAGTCCTGATGATATTTTAATGTTCTGAAATGTGTGAAATAAGAGGAATTGATCAAGCTAATATTCTTTCTGAAGAAAGGCAAAATGTTCAGGGCTTACACATTTATTGATAGCAATGGGAACAACAGAAAAAAAATCTGAAGCTTCAAAAAGGAAGCAGGCACTTCACCAAAATAAGACACAACCATAAAGACTCTGCAAAGTATGCAATCTAAATACAATACAACACAAGGTGGCAGTATCAACAGACAAAAAAGGAGAAAGGAGTAGGAGGAGGAATCAGAGAGGAAAGTACAGTGTGACAATAATAGGATAACGCAGATATTAATTGAGCAGAGACATGTAAACATTTAGAGGTTTTTGCTGTGCTATTTGGCCAATTTTACCTTCCCCTAACTTTTCATAGGGAAAATATTTGTTTAGGATGGATCTGAATTAGTGTGGGATTTACCATGGCAGTGCAATGGCGACGTGCTATTCCATACATGAGGAACAGTATGGCAGAAGGCACAAATATTTGAGAGATGAAGATGAAGAAATATTGAGATTGGCATAACTTGCAGAAGTCAAGTCATGGGGCTATATACATGTCCGAGGGATTTTTAAAGACATTTAAATTAGTGGTGCAGAACAATGGCAAAACAGTGGAATGACTTAAATGAGGAGGTGACAGACTATAAAGGCTTTGACAGCAGCATCTTGAATTAACTTGTCTCAGGAAGAAGTTGCTGCTTATTTGACACAGGAAATAATTAGGATGAGGTAAGTCATTTTGCAGTTGAGACGAAGAAGGGATAGTTGTTTCCTCTTTTGTTCCTCCACATCTATGAATCAGTGTAAAAAAAAATAAAATTAAGGAATTATTATAAATCACAAACAATGAAATTTTCTTTTTAATTTTTTTCCACAGTAATGCTACCACGATAATTCAACATAGAAAATGTGAGCTATCTGTGTGTTTGGAATGTTTAGATTTTATTTGGGCTATACAGAAGTCAGATCTTAGTTGGCAAAAAACTATTCCAAGGGTGGAAGAAACACATTACGATTTAAGATGTGTGTAGATATGGTTAGGGTTAAATGACATTTGGTTACAAAACTTCAGCCAGATACTTGATTTTGTTGTTATAACTTCAGATACCATTTTTTAAGTTGTAACAATAGGTCCCCCTAGTGGATAAGAGAGAGAATAAATTTTGTCTTGCTTGAAAATTTCTTCTTGCCACTACACCAATCTTGATTATCAGGTCAAAACCCTTTCTCTCCCACTTGCACAAAATGAATGGAGGGGAATGTTTAATTAATACTTGCAAAGCTTGTTGATAATGTAAAGCATTTTGTAAGTATATGTACTTTTTACTGAATTGGCTTATTAAGCAATCATGTCACCACCCCAGCGTGGTATCTAATAGTGATGAAACTACCTATTAAACATATAACATCAATTACCAAAAATATTTATCAAAAGAAAATAATTTTACTGGTGTAAAATTTGTGTAATAGATAAGCATTATGTTTTTGCAAAAATGAGTCGACTTCATAATTTAGTTTTGAATAGCACTTTCCAGTGTCATGATATTCAAGGCATTTCACGTAGTAATGAATTAGACATTGGTAATTCAGTGACTGCATTTGGCAAACATAGTGGCCACTATAAACAGCTATATCTAGTTCATGCACATTAGAACCAGCTTCATCAGGGAAGGACATCATGACCAGGAGATTAGGAGTTCTCTTTAGCTTTTCTAAAGAACTATTTGATTCCCACTAGGATAGATACCTAGGAAGTGATATTAGTATAGTGTTTCTTCTGAAGGACAAAATTTCTAATACTACTATTCTTCACCTCAACATGAACAACATTCCATATGAATCCAAGCCCTGGAGTGGAGCCTTATCGCACATCATTGTGACCTATGTGTCCTATCTTTACTGGTTTTTCAAATCTCCTTTAAACCAAATAAGGATCAACTTCATTAACTAGCAGTTTAACAAATTTAAAGGGTTTTTCAAACCCACACCTGCCTTTATTGCTTATATACAGCAGGTGTTTTGCGCTGTACTTTTTCCATTCACTGGTATGGCAGTTTATATGATTTCAGCTTGTTTTGTTCTGTATATACTCCAGTAAACAGTAAAACAGCTTTAATATTTTATCACCATATTTCAACCAAAATTGGCACTAAGTCCATGATAACAAAGGCAGTTGGTACATCTACATTTTAGAGGTCATGGAGGGCCTGTTAAATAACTTTCTCTCCTAAATCTGTTTACCTTCCCTAGCACAATCCTTAGGCCCTATGTTATAGCAATATTCCTTCCAGAAGGCAGAAAGAAAAGATTTGTCAAGACCCGACAACAGCATGCCTAAACCAGAGAGAGCTGGGAAATGCAACATCGAGTGCTCCGAGACCCTGCCAATCCAAGACACTTACCCAAACTCAGACTCCTAAATGGTAATGCATGTACTTTCTGGTCACAGACCTCCAGTTTGGTTTGGTCACACAAACAGAGAAATTGCCTTATCAAAAACTAATTTAAGTACAAAACTGATACAATAATTGATCCTGAAATAACGAACTTTTATTCAGAAAAACACCTCTGCAGAACAGTCAAGCTTATTTTTTTAACTATTTTTCTGATGGCTAACAGAAAATTCATCACCTGTTAAGAATAGTCCTTTCTCACTAAAGCCATTCTCTAAATAATCCTATTTAAAAGCATGTTGGTGAGGAATAAACAGAGGTAGAATTAACCTTCTATCTGCCAAGAAAGCAGCGCTTACTCTTCTGCTAGAACCACAGTAATTCTGTGGCTTTCAGGATAATAGTTACATTCTACCATCTTGGCTTTGAATTTCTTGCAATCAAGAACAAATTAGGAAGTATCTGTTTCTAGCCATGCCCTTTGCACACCTGAAGCAAAAGGGGGGTGGAGTAGGGTTGCCAGATGGTCCCCCAAAAAATACCGGACATACAGTATTTTGGTCAAGCAAAAAAAACCCAACACAGGCTACAAATTTTTTACAAGCCAAAAAAGCACACCACAGGATAATAAGTACTTCCTCTCATTCCCACTCCCCCCCCCCCTTCTGATGGGCCCAGACTGGTGATTGCGGTCCCACCTCCCAGCTGGGACTCCCAGCCACTCCCCCCACCACACCTAGGCTTCTGATATGCCAAGAGTGGCGATCGCAGCCCTGCCTCCCAGCCTGGGAGTCCCAGCTGGGAGGCGGGGCCGTGATGGGCACTGCGAGGCACCAGGCTTCTGTGCAATCACAGGCTCCCACCTTCCAGCCACACCCCCCGCCCATGCCAGGCTTCCTTCCGGTGCGCAGCCAGAAAAATCAGAGAATACTGGACATTGCACATGTCTGGTATTCTGATTATTTTTTTTTACCGGACAGAGTGCAAATACTGGACACCTGGCAACCCTAGGTGGGGGAGGAGTAGAAATTGCATGTGGCATTCCAAATGGATGCCTGTAAAATGAGACCTCACTTAGGCTACATCTACACTGTTTTGTTTTTTGTGGAAGAGGAAATGCAAATGAAGTGCTCATTTGCAAATCTTGCACTCATTTGCATATTTTCTTCCAATCCTTTTTGCAGAAGTTTTGTGGGGAAACCGCCCCCCCCCAGTGTACATGAGGCCATTTTTCGGAAAAAAACCTTGTGCAAGATCCTATAAACCTCATTTTTTGAGGAATAAGGGATCTTGCTCAAAAGGGGTTTTTTCCGAAAAATGGCCCCATGTACACTGCGTCTTTTCAAAAAACAATTCTCAAAAAGGATCAGAAGAGAATATGCAAATGAGTGAGTTTTGCAAATGAGCACTTCATTTGCATTTCCTCTTCCACAAAAAACAGTGTAGATGTAGCATTAGTGTTAGACACATTTTAAAATTATCACTTCCTACAGCTGATTAATTGCCAGTGTGATCCATCTTTGACTATGTCTACACTACAGAGTTTTTTTGGAAAAAAGGCCATTTTTACAAAAAAAAACTTCAAGCGCGTTTTTGCGCAAAATACAGAGGGGTTTTTCCGGCATAGGTATTTCTCATTCTACAAGGAAGAACACCTTTTAGCAAAAGCGCTCTTTCACAAAAAGGTGTGTGGGGACAGGGAGGAGAGGTTCTTTTGTACAAAAAGAGGAAAGAAGAAAAAGGACAAGTGCCCTGGGGGCCATTCTGTGCATAGCAATCAGAGCTTACTTTCGAGAGAGCACCAATGCAGTCTGGACGCTCTCTTTCGCAAAAGTTTTTTCGATGCGCTTTTGCAGTGTGGACACACTCTTGCTCAGGAAGTTTGTGCTGAAGATCTCTTCTAATAAAAGCTTCTTGCACAAGATGCCTGCAGTCTAGATGTAGCCTCTGATACAGTTCTGCCATGCTAACGTGGCATGGACTTGCTAAGAGATCTTTCTTACTCCTTTTGATACCATACATGAAGAAAGGGGGTGGGAGAAGAATACTGAATATATTGAGAGAACAAGTAGGCCAACTGACAAGAAAAAAAATTGAGATGCTGCCCCCTCCCCCAACCAAAAAATACAGCAGATGTGGAGGTGCTAATAACTAGACACCTATAAAACCTTTGGCACTAGTGACCTGAGAGTAATGGTGGTGCTGTAGCATCAAGAAAACCCAGCAGAAACTGCACCAGTAATACCAAGGCAAAGAAAAAGTATTGAGAAAGACAGACAGGTAGAGAAGTGCTTAAATGATATAAAGTAACAACTAGTTGCGCTGGAATGAAAGCACCAAGAACAGGCACTGAAATACCTGGGGAAGGAGGGGCAGCAAAGTGTCAAGCTACCACTGGGTATCACAAGAGTCGGCAATAAGCTGCTTGAAGCTCCCATTGATTGCAGATCCCCATTCCTGGCCAACAGAAGCTTCCAAGCAACTGTACCTGCGACGGTGCAGGGAAAGAAAGTGTTGGCGGCCTGCCAGGAGCTAACCCTGGTGAACTGCATCCAGCCATGGACTGGTTATTACCCATTGCTGGTGTATTATACTCACCAGCACACTATCATTTCTTCATTTGCACTCTTCAATAGGTCAGCATCTGAGAGTCCTGAAGAGACAACAGCAACAGTAATAAAAATAGTAATTGTGTGTGTGCGGGGGGGGGGCAGGGTCAAACTTTTAGTTTCTATAGGTTAAGCCCACTTCACGTACTAGGGGTTCCTTGCATCCTTGCACTTCCCACTATCATCACAAGTTCCCTATGTGTTATCTTCCCCTCCCCTCTATTTCAGTCACTCCGTACATCTTCCTCACCTCCTCTAGGATGAAGCTCAATAAGGACAAATGCAAGTACTCCACTCCACTTAGGAAGAAACAATCAGTTTCACACATACAGAATGAAAAGTGACTAAGGAGTCATAGTGGACCACAGGCTAAATATAAGATAACAGTGTGAGACTGATGCAAAAAAAGCAAACATGATTCTGGGATCCATTAACAGGAGTGTTGTAAGTAAGACATGAAAAGTCATTCTGCAGTCTGCAAACTATGCAGCACGTTGGTGTAGAATGCCCAACACGAAAATATATTGGCTCACTGGAGGATATCCACAATCTAACCAGCGGCGCTGTTCGCTGACTGGAGAGTTTGGATGTCCAACTTTGATGAAGAAATACAGCACTGAACACGATATTTGAAAGAAGTTGGAGTATTGTGTTCAGTTCTGGGCACATTTCAAGAAAGATGTGGAGAAACTGGAGAAGGTCCAGGGAAGAGCAACAAAAATGATTAAAGGTCTAGAAAACATGAGCTATGAGACAAGGCTGAAGGAATTGGGCTTGTTTGGTTTGGAAAAGAGAAAACAGAGAGAACATGATAGATACCTGAAAACTACTAAAAGGGTGTCACGGGGGGGCGGGGAGGGAAGGAATTGTTCTCTTTGGGCTCTGATGATAGGACAAGAAGCCATGAGCTTAAACAGCAGCAAGTGAGGTTTAGGTTGAACATTAGGAAAAACTTCCTGTCAGGGTGATTAAACGCTCAAATAAGTTACCTAGGGAAGTTGTAGAATCTTCATCACTGGAGTTAAGATCAGGTTAGACAGACATCTATCAGGGATGATTCTAGACCAGCCGTGGCCAACCTGCAGCTTGCGAGCCACATGCGGCACTTCCAGTTCTAGTATTCTATGATTCTATCATGCTAGATCCCTCATTTCCTCCTCTGCCACATGCCATGAGCTCTGTCCCATCTTCCCCCATCATCTGCCTCAATTCCTGTAACTCCAAGGAACATCCTTTCTTCCCCCAAACAGATATGGAGCTGTGTGGGGGAGTCCCCAAATTCCACTATCCCTCTATCAGGGTCTCATTCTCTCTCAAAAATCAAAGACTCTCTGTGCTCCCCCTTCTAGTATCCATCAATCTATCCCTCTGACAGTCTTTGTGCCCCCAATTTGCCCTTTCTCCCACGCCAGTGCCAACAGCTTGAGCACTTCAATTCCTCATTACCAGATTTACCCAATTTTTCTCCCTATACAAGGGGCTTTGTTCCCTCTCATCCCCTCCTCTTCTCCCATTTCCTCTGCTATGGACCCTGTGTCTGTCCTTTTCCTTGCTGATCCCCAGCATCTTTCTTCCACCTTGCTTTGAAGGGACTGCAGGCAGCTGGTGTCCCCCACCATGGAGCAGGTTCAGAAAAGATAGAGTGGCAGAAAGGAATGGCTCAAGCCTCCAATCTGCCTTGTTTCCCTTTCTCTGGCTGAACATCCCCCACCATTCCACCTGTTAGGTGGCTCTCAAACGGAAAACAAATTATTTTCCTTCTGATTAGGGGCATAGTAGATCCTCAGAGTTAAACACCAAAATTAACAGACTAGTTAACCTCTTTTGAAACCTCATTTGGAACCAGAAGTACACAATCAGGTACCAGTAGGGGGGGCAGGAAGCAAATACAGTACTGGATTAAACTACTAAAAATAAAAAAAAATTAAATTGTTTTTGTAAAAAACTGCAGAGGTGCATGAAGCTGTGGCTCTTCTAAACAGATATAGGGCACCACTTGTTCCTCAATTTCCCCTTATGAATTTTGAGAAAAATCAAAAAACCAAAACCTTTTTGCCTAGAAATCTTGGAATCAATACCAAAATGATGGCCTCTTACTAAATGTGTCACCACACATTCAGAAGGAATGGAACTTATCACTGAAAATGCCTTACCAAAGTAAGTTCAGGTCTTTTTTTGAAAGACCACTAAAACTATGTCTATAGTGAAGTGCTTTTTCAGTAATAATGATAAAGAACAATTCAATCCACCTAACATTGGCATCTATACAGGGGGGGGAAAAAAAAAAAAAAAAAAAAAGAACCAGTTTCTAGAGGCCAGGAATTCCAAAGATTGAACAGGCTTACACATGCAGTGGATATTTTAGTGGGCGCTTCATAGGGAAAAATTTATGTGCGGTGAAGAGCATTTTTGTTCCTTTTAAACAATACCAGATATTGCAGCTTCAGCCATTGAGCAAAACAACCAAACTGGTATGTGGATGATCCCAAACTAATAGAATTCCTCTGAAGAATGCTCGTTTACTTAAAAAGTCATGACTTTTTTTAAAAGTCAGAACCTCCATGCAATGGAGGTGCAACTATGAATATCCAGCACAAGAATCTACTCTAAGTCTTGAATATGCTTTGTCAAAAGTAACAAGTTAAGTCACAGTACAATTCAGTTTGGGATTAAAACAAAAAACCAAGGCTTTCAACTACCAATAATAAAAGAACATTTTATTAAAAGTGGAAGCTTGTCATCAAAACTTTATCAAAACTAAGGCCATAGCTAATTCTAACAAAGTCAACTTCAGAAGATTTATATAATATGATTTAATTTAGAAATTTTATACAAAGCTATTTTACAAATGAATACTCAAACATGTCAAACTTAACACTGTTCACTCTAAAATGTATTGTTACAAATTACTGAAATATCAGCACATAAAATGTACATTTATTTTGGTCCTTTGAGGAAAATAATTTTTTGCATGGGTCCAACTACAGAAATAAATGGAACCATAAGATAGCAACTGCAATGTTAACAGCCAATAAACCTCTTTTTTTGCTGCAGAGTTTGCTTTCTTGTAACGTCACACGTCTCCAGTCATAATAGCAACAAACTCCTCCTGATTGACTGTGATAAGAGACAAAAGGTGGACAAACATAGAGGTATTAATGAAAAAATATTGTATGTACATACTGCATTCTTGTTTTGAAAGCTTCCTCATTCATATTCTTAGGCTCTGATTCAATGCTTATTGAAGTTAATAAACAGGTATATTGCAGAGCTCTGATTCAATGCTTATTGAAGATAATAAACAGGTATATTGCAGAGCTTGCTGTGAAATCTCCCTTGGAGCAGGCCCACTCCCTGGGAGGAGACTTCATTGAGTGTAACCAATACCATTAACTGATAAGCATCCTCTTATTGGATAAACAGTCATTTACACTCAAACACTCCTAATGCAAACTTGGTATAATAAACTCACTCCCTTCGATTCAGACAAATTGCAAGTAGGGATATTAGCAACTAGTCAACTAACCGATAGGGAGGAGCTTATTGGTTAGTACTATCGACTAGTCACATCCCCACAGCTGCGGCTCTGCATTTTACAGCACAGGGAATCTGGCTCTCAGAAACATTGGGTCAGACCCTATTCCGCAGGTCTCTTAGGACTCAGCATACAACCCTCTCCCCTCCCAGTTGCCACTCTGAATTTTACAGCACAGAGAAGTTTGGCTTCCCTGTGCTGTAAAATGCAGAGGCAGCTGGGGAGGTTATGCTGTGAACCAGCAAGAACCAGACAGTGCGCTGGAACTGACTACTTGTATTGACTAATTGAGTAGTTGATAAAAAACAAAAAAAACTCTCAACTACTTGGTTAGTAAATTAATTGCATTTTAACATCCCTAGTTGCAAGTACTATCTTTTCACTTCTCCTGGGGATTCACAGAGCATGGCAAGAGTTCCAGCGTTGGTAAATAAAGCCTGAGGAAGGCGTGCGCGCAAGAAGCAGCTACAGGTAAAAACATACCAGGTGTGTGGTGCTAAACAGAACACCAATTAATAGATTTTTTTTTTTTAAGAATGGCAATTAACAGTGTCATTTTGCTTTACAGAACTAAAAGAAACACAAAACCTTAAAGGTAAATGGAGTAATAGATAAACAGTATGCTTTCCATCTTTCACATGCATTCCAATCTCCCTCTCTGGAGATATTTAAGAACAGGTTAGATAGACATCTGTCAGGGATGGTGTAGATGGAGCTTGGTCCTGCCTTGAGGGCGGGGGGCTGGACTCGATGACCTCTTGAGGTCCCTTCCAGTCCTATTATTCTATGATTCTATGATAAGTCACAGTGCAGAGACAGAATATTTGTTCCCCAAGACAGGGCAATCCAAATACCTTGGAGTCAGTTTGCCATTCAAGTTGAGAATTAAAGATGGCCCAAGATACAAAGTTAGAATCTAGTCCTGGTTCTATCCAAAGTCGGGGGTCGTCTGATCTGGGGTTCTGGTTCAGATTCAGGTCAATCTCTAGTGTGGTAGAACAGGTGGGGCACTGCCGGTAAGTCCCGCAGCACCGCTTCTTGGCGCTACTGGACCAACCCAGCAGCACCCCCAGCCCCACGCCCCAGGAGTCCCCAAGTCAGCCGCTGCTGAAACTGACCAGTGCTGACTACAGGAAGTCCGAGGCAGAGGTGCTCCGCCCCCGGCTTCCTGGAA